ATGAGGTCCCGCTCGGTCCAAATCTCCATTCCAGCCAGCACCACCTCTGTGTTTATTCCCCTAGTGAAGCTGTTGGCCAGAGCAATGATGTCCATTACTCTCTGGACTGTCTCATTGATGTCATTGCCCCACATTTGGAACCGCTGGTTGTCGACCACGACAAACATCTCCACGTATTTGGTATGTGACCACAAGTAGGATGGCACCTGCCGACTGCGAGGCTTGCTGCTCTCTTGTTGCTGGCTGGTGAATGCCACTTGGCTGTCATTGGAAGTGACACTACAGGAGACTGGAGCTTCACGGGCCATGGTGTACAACACATGTTCAAACCGTTTTGAAGAGTGAATGGGCTCAATGCCATAGGATTTTGCCTCCTTAATCAGGACGCCTCTGAGGCCTGAACAGGTGTTGACAGAAACAAAAGAACCTGGGACTCCTTCTATGTAGCCTTCATAATGACAGTCATGTGAGATCAAAGGCATTTCTTGCCCCAGGATGCCATTGTGGTAGCTGAAGACTGGAAAGTTATTCACAAAATAGTCTCTCTTCACCTTCAGGTGAATCAGCTGTTTCTGGCCCTGCATAAATAGCACATAGGAGAGCTTTTCCACTTGGTCTTCCCTTCCTTCCACTGTCAGACTCTTGGGGGTGACTGTTTCATAGGAAGAGTAATATACTGATCCCAGGTCACAGTACAAGCTTGGCAGAGAAATCACCAACAGCAACACAATCCTCAAACTGAAACATGAAGATCCTGGCACTGGCCCCAGCCTCAAATCCCTCTTCTGCTGAGCCCAAGTCTGAAACTTCATCTTACCCTCCTTCAAGGCCACTTGGTTTTTCCGTAGAGAAGGCAGTATAGAGGCAGAGTGTGTCACAGACGCTGCCATGTTAAATCAGTTGATGATGCAGGGCCTATGTCCAGCAGCAGCAGCTTTCCCTGACACGCAGACCCTCCGTCACAGGTATTCACTTCAGATCTATGCTGGCTCCCTTATGGGTGGGCACTGCCCAACTCTGAGTCTTACAGACCTTGGGGCTGTGTTTCTGTTCTTGCTTTTCTCTCTTGGCCTTCAGTGGTTTCCTTACTATATGACTTCCTTCCAACAGCAATGGTTTTAATGCTCCTTGGCTAAGTTCCCTTTACGCTTACACAGAGATATACCAAGTAGAAGGCCTGTAATGATTCAGCCAGGACTGTTACTCAGGTAAATTATCCTTATCCTCAGCCCAGGGCCACGCTACTCTTGATATCCGTTAATCTGCACATTCTTTGAAACCCAACATTCTGGCAGGTCAGGGGGGAGGGGATGGGGATTCTTCGGGATCTCAGAGCAGGACGAAGCTCTCTGTTGCCCATTACCTCTTTTCCTCATTTCTGTAGTATTGAGGGTACTGTTTTTCAGTCCAGCCCTCCTTTGTCAGGGTCTGGTTTTTCTCCTTTAATTCAAGAAAACTTGTATGTGGATGCACAAATTCTCCCTCATTAACTTTTGTTCATAACAGATGAGTTTGGCCACTTTGTGTCTGCATATAAACATAATTTTCCTCTAATAAGTTTTCCTAATGCACAAACGTACTAAGTGTTAAATGAAAGGAGTTCAGTTTCACTACGGAGACTTACAAGTGACTAAGATCAAAGTTCAGTTCCTCCCAACATAAAAACAAAGTCTGGAATAAAACTAAACTCTGATTAACCAGGTATCTAGTTACCATTTCATCAAGAAAATAAAAATGGACTGTATAAGAGCTTTTTAAAGACTTCTTTGCTTTCGTAACTAAAATTGAACTGTAATGTCTATGGAAGTCCTTGGATTTGATTTTGATGTTGATCTCCTGGTGTATTTAGCAGTATAAATTTAAAAGGAAAAAAGCCCTATTTAACCACATTCCTTGCCCAGTTATTCTCCTTTGCATCATAAGATGAACTAAAGACTCTACATCTTTTATCTTGCATAAAAATAATTTTATATTAAGTCAAATATCTACAATATAAAACCTTCAAAATAAGGGTTATGGCTATAAGTACCACACAAAAATGGAGAAACGCCTTATATAATTCAAAAGAGAATGGAATAGTACTACAAGAGCTCAGATATAAGCATGAGAGTAGATCAACTCATTAACCCCAATTAATAATATTTAATTCCTAATACAGATGAAAAAATTAATCATCCACATCTAGCAAGAAAATTAATACTATCATATCACAAACATATTAAAAAATTTACAGCAAAAATGGTGAAATGATTTCCAGCTGGATTTCTTTTCTCCTTGTGTTCTGTATAAGAGGAAAGCCTCTTAAAATTATGTAACTTGGAAATTATCACAGATTTAAGATGTTCCCCTGTGTCTTAACCAAACAGGCAGGGAAAATTTAAGTCATTTTGTGGGACAAAAAAATCAATAATGAAAGACCACTTCTACTTTTTTAAATAAATAAAAATATAATTAAAATCAAATATCCAATTTTCCAGTTCTCAAATTGAGACACATTTTCTTCAATAAATACACACGCACGCAAGCATTCACACACAAGATCTGATTTAAATCATTTGACTTCTTCAACCAATAATTCCTTCAACTTGTTCTATCTCAAATGAATACAAAAACAAAACTCTTTTTAAAAAGCAGTTTCTCCTATCATATGTTTCAGACAATAAATTTCTCACAGGTGTTCTCCTATAGCTTATACAATACATTAGCCAGAAAAATACAAAAGTTGTTTCGCATCAAGCAGATTAATAACTATGGTAAAGTCTAAAGGTATTTGAGTAATGGTTTTATAGTAAGCAGAGGGTTAGCAAATCATGTAGGAAAACTGAAGACTCTAACCTCCTGCCTATGAGAACTGTTCTTACAGTGTGAACTTCCTGCAGGTACAGGCATTAGACAGACAGGCCAAAAGAGACAAGGATGATTTTGTTTCACTTCCAGTACATGTGAATGTTTTATTAGTAAACCTGACTGGTAAAGTTAAAGCAGAATTTGCTACTGGCCTACAAACAAATTCCATAAACAAAACTCCACTTTAAAGACCAAACATTGCTGAGTCTTTTGGAAGCTGTTGTTTTGTCAAGGAGCTCTCTGTAGGATAGGACCCACTTTTGAGTTACAACAGCTAGAGCATCCTCCAGGGTATTCACAAACTTTCAGCATGGACCTGTCTGGATACAGCACTCATTTTCGCGGCCAGTTTAATTCAAACTAAAGAAACACGGGCAACTGCTGCTCAGAGTAAAAGGAAGAATCTTTTGGATACCCTTTTAGATCATGCCTAAAATTCACCACACAGGGAAGGAAATCATCTTGAGCCTCTAGAAGACACCCAGATAACAAATTTGAGAAGTTAATGGTAGACTGGGCATGCTAGAAGATTCCTCTGAAGAAAAAGAGTAACAAAGTTAATTACTGCCTTCCTCTCCCAAGTGAACACTGAACCTCTACCCTAAGATAAGAAAAATAACAGGTATTCAGTTGTTCCAGAAACAAGTGCAGAGTTTTTCCTGATTGTAAGAAGTGATTTTGATTTGTAAGACTGCATTTCACTGAAAAAACAGAATTATTCAACCCTTAATTCAACTCTCAGCTAAGTTTTGTGGTTAGTAAATAAGAAAACATTTTGTTTTTCTCTGCCGCCTGTTAGATTTTGCCATGTTTAAAAGTATTGAATTCTCGGGCTTCCCTTGTGGTGCAGTGGTTGAGAGTCCGCCTGCCGATGCAGGGGACACGGGTTCGTGCCCTGGTCCGGGAAGATCCCACATGCTGCGGAGCGGCTGGGCCCGTGAGCCATGGCCTGAGCCTGCATGTCCGGAGCCTGTGCTCCGGCAACGGGAGAGGCCACAACAGTGAGAGGCCCGCGTACCGCAAAAAAAAAAAAAAAAAAAAAAAGTATTGAATTCTCCTTACAGGTTATCCATTTGTAGCAGTTATCAATCACCGAAGATTAGTGAGCCTTACCTCAAAAAATGCCTTGAATTTAAAACTCTCCAAAGTAAAAGGGAACCAATGTGTAAGGTAATTTCTAAGAGATACTTAATGTTTTTATCATATATTCCTACAGTCATTCACACACATATGGGACATACTAAGCAAATGTCACCCTGAAGACATACTCAGCAAAGTGGAAGAGTTAGAAAATAAGTGAGCTCTGGGGGGTTGATTTTGATTGAAGAGAATTTGATGGGATGAAACTGAATAACTGAGCCTACTGACCCTTTTCTTCTCCTCTGTGAATTGGAGTTGGCCTATTAGCTCTCCCATTTACCAACACAGAACCACCAATCAAGAACTGCTAAAAAAATAAATAAAAATGGTGTGTTATGGATGCCGATATGTACAACAGCAAAGTAGAAAAGCACCCAGCCTTGTTTTCTATTCCAGTATCTGATCTCTGGGCCAGAACCATGCTTCCTGAAAATGAAGGGTGATAAATAAAATACATGCATCCCAGGGGATGCCACCATGAAACCCAGGCAGAAATGTTAGAGAAAAAGGGTAGCTTTAAGAGAAAAAACTTGGACCATCTTTAGATGCTAACCCAATAGTCCAGTTTTTATGATATGTAACTTTCTCAGAAAAATCATCCCATAAAAGGGGCCAGAAGAACAGGGAAAGGAGATAAGAAGCAATGGAGCTGGTGAGGGCTGCAGGAAAGGGAGAGGACAAAGTAGGATCTCATGGAGGTGGGAGGGCTGAAGCTCTGGTTAAACATGAAAAGAATAAACTCAATAGAGAATCCCATTAGATTTAAGAAATACACCAATACCTTTTAAAAAAATATGACAAAAAAGGAGTATTACCACTCTTCTCTAGGGAATTAGGGATAAGAGAAATGAGGGCTCAACTCCCTGCCTCTTCCATCATGGGAGGTGGCACCCTGTAACAGGCAAGCAGTCTGCAACATGGATCCACAAAAATTTCTTGGCTCCAGAGCTAATCCACTGATAGTGCAGAAAGTGAAATACACAGGGCAATTGAAACCAGATTCCACAGTACTGGATTCAACGTTTACTAAGGCCAGTATAGTTGGTCCTTTGCCTACCACTGCAAATGGTTTTTGTATACTTTATTACAAATGAAACAATCTTGCTTGACAATACCATCTGTCAGCTTTACCATATACGACTAAACAATCCTAAAGTAATAATATATTAGGAACTGAGCTTTTCTTAAAAACAAATGAACTATACTATTAGTAAATCCTGTATCTAAATTTATACAGCATCTTTAAGCAATGTGGAAATGAAATTATGATTTATTAATTTACATACAAATTACTTTATACATTAATGAATAAATTTTCAACTTGTTAAAAAACAAAGTCTGAAGCTGTCATTATTGGGATTCGTGGGATGTGGTTTGCTCTTCTATCACTTGCTTCACAATTTCTGCCAGTTTTAGTCGATCTACTTTATCTGTGAATCCACGACCTGAAACCCAAAAAAGAAAAAGGTCAGTCTCCAAACTGGGAAGTGGTAAGATTCTTGACAGGGACCCAATAAGGTACATCTCACCAGTGTCAAATTCACCCTCACCATGGAGGAACCATCACCAACACTGATCAAAAGCAGTTCAACTCCCCCATTTTTCAAGTAGAACTGAGCAGCTTATTAACCTGGCCGTAAAAATCCAATGTTCAGTACAACAGCACAGCAAGAAACCACAAAGAGGGAGAAGTTCTTTGTGATATGTATGTCGACAACAGAACTCATATCCGGACTATATAAAGAACTCCTACACATCTATAAGAGAGATACAACTCAACAGAAAAATGGGCAAAAGAATAGGCACTTAACAAAATCTAAATGGCCAATAAACATTAAAACATGCTTAAGCTCATAGTCATCAGGGAAAGGCAAAGTAAAATGACACGCAATACCAGTAGTACTTATTAATCAGAATGACTAAAATGAAAAAGACAATAGCAAGGGTTGGTGTGGATATAGAATAACTAGAACCCTCAAACACTGCTAGTGGAAGTGTAAAGTGGTACAACCACTTTGGAAAACTGGTGGCAGTACCTACTGAAGCTAAACAGATGAATATCCCCATGAACCAGCAACTCCAATCCTAGATACATAAGAGAAATGAGTTCATTAAAATATTCATAAAAGATGTACACAAGAGTGTTTATAGCAGTGCTTTCCTTAATTACCAAAACCTGGAAACAACCCATATGTCCGTTCAACAGCAGAATGAATAAATATAAATACAAAAAATATATGTGTATATATATATGGAGAAAAATATATATAGAGAGAATATATATATATTTACATACATATATATGAGAATGAATTGCTGCTACACACAACAATATGGTTGAATCTCACAAATATAATCTTGACTAAAAGAAGCCAGACACAAAAGAACACAGACTTCTCTGACTCCACTTACATAAAATATAAAACCAGGCAAAACTAATATACACTGCTAGAAACTGGGATCATAATTACCCTTGTGAGGAGGGAGGTAGCAGTTAAAAGAGGGCACATGCTCCACTACATGTTCTAGGTGCTTGTTACATGGGAGCGTTCACTTTGTGAAAATTCATCGGACGTGCATACCTCAAATGTGATCACTTTTCTGTATTGATATTTCAAAATCTTAAAAAATAAAAAAAATCCTAGGGAAGCTAATCTCCTCCAAGTATGGGAATGGCCAGGCTAGCACTTTGGATTTCTCATGTCCAAGAATCAAGCTAGGCAATGAGTTTGCTTCCTTCCCTGAGCATCCTAGACCTTAAGTCTAGTTTAGTCTGCTAAAGTAGAAAGACAATACAAAAGCAGCTCAAAAAACACACCTGTACCTTGTTTGCCTGTGGGGAAAAAAATTCAAAGAGCAGCAGATTTGGCACTCTCTACTCTTCAGTGAAACAGGTCTTCTCTAAGCTAAGCAGATCAGCAGGGCGGACTCTGTGGTACTTTGCCCTCTTTCTCCCCTTCAGAGTATACTGCTCCTTAATGACCCAGTGAACAGTTCAGGTATCTGGAAGGAGTTCTGAGATCTGACTGTTTTTTTGCCCAAGTGGTATGTGACGGGGGCTCTGCAGCAATGAATCTGCGACACATAATTCATCTGAACTCTGGAAAACAAGCGAAAGGGCCAGATGTCCAGATACGCCTGGGCAGTTACTGTAGGGCTAACCCCCTGTCCCACAGTATTCCACTCACTCGCCAGCCCTACTTTACCTGAAAACAGTCCCAGCTCAGCCCCCAGAGATCCTACATATTCTAAACACAATTACTTCTCTGCATTCCTGGGGAAAGGCATAATTAAGACTCCTACCATTCCAGCTGAAGCTTTGCAGAGTGTCTCTTAGGAGTTTGCATTCCCGGTTATACTTCCAAGCTTCCTGAACTACTTCATTCAGCTTTTCATCTTCATTCTCTCCTGTTGATAAAGATGAAGAAGAAGTTGCATTTTCCTGCAGCATCATGGGATTTTAGTGTCAGAGATGGAAGGACATGATGTCCAACTTATTGAGAAGTGATGATTAAAGGTGCAAGCTTTACCAGACTATCATTACTTCTAGTCCCTACATTACATGTAGAGCAGGGGTCCCAACCACTGGGCCACACAGCAGGAGGTGAGCGGTGGACAAGCGAGGGAAGCTTCATCTGTATTTACAGCCACTCCCCATCACTCACATTACCACCTGAACTCTGCCTCCTGTCAGCATTATGGTGAGTTGTATAATTATTTCATTATATATTACAATGTAATAATAATAGAAATAAAGCACACAATAAACGTAATGCACTTGAATCATCCTGAAACCACCCCCGCCACCCCCGCCCAGTCCATGGAAAAATTGTCTTCCACGAAACCAGTCCCTGATGCCAAAAAGGTTGGGGACCACTGATGTAGACCGCTTCTGGTTTCTCAACTCTTCCTGCTCTGACCACCTCACACAAATTCCCTGATGCCCCCAGAGTCTTAGCACTGGGGGATGGGAAATAGGCATCCCACAGGATGTCAGACTATTGCTGAGCAAAAGCACCTGGTTAACTTAAGAGACCATGAGCGAGAGGGAGAATAAGGCTGAGTGGGCTACCTTCTTTCTCCTAAGCTCATTTCTTACTTTGGAAGGCTACCTGAGGCACACTAGTAAGTTCCCTTAAAAGCCAAGGAATCTAGGAAGACTGGTCAACTCAACAGTTTCCTGGCCTACTACTTGAAGCATCTCATTCATCTGCTGAGAAAAGCCCATCATACCCCATTAGGTGGAAAGAGAACATACTGAAAGAGAGCTCTCACTCGAAAGGACTTCTGTTTAAGTCCCACCCTGCCCATGATACAAGTAGCAGCCAGGGCCACTTCTGAACTTGGGAGATCGTCTCTTTATATTCACAAGTTAATGACAGCCTTGTACTCTAAGGGCTCTGGATATGGTATTTCCCAACGCTCCTGACCTTCCCAACCTAATCCTGACCCTGTTCACATTTTCCATTTTCCATCCTCTATCCTGTAATCTCATTAACAAACTAGGAAAATACAAAATTACGTGCTGTGTCTGACGCTGGCAATTACACCGAAACTAGAAATTTTACAGGAAACCAAAGGTGGGCCAGAGCCTCACATTTCTGAGTTCCCACTGTCCATTCTTTTCAGTGGGCACAAACTATATAATGTACTTATTTTCTTATAACACAAAGATGAAACAGACAACTTCAAATTAAACCACTCCTTTAGTCATGTGCATGTGCACACACACAGACACGCACAGAGCATTCATAAATGGTGTGACCTTTACCAGCCTGGGGGAGAATACACTGAGCAATCACATCTCGGAGCTTTTCCAAGGCAACATTTGAATCCTCGGCTCCATTCTCACGGTCGTGGATATAAACACCATCCTTTGGCTTGGTGCTTTAGAAGTTTGGGAGAGAGGTAATAACAAGGTGAGACCCCAAAACCCAACTCTTAACAGATGTTAATGCTAAACATAAGGAACAGATTTTTCAGATAAATAAGTAACTATAGAGTATCTCCAACTTCTGATGCTATTTAAAGAACATATCCTTTCCACCCTCTTAAGAGACAAAAAAGGGCAGACCCCTGGCTGACCTTTCAGAACCCTGTACTCAACCACACCAGCCATGAGGGAGAACTGAAGAAATAAGCTCAGTTACCCGAGTAATTTCCTCTTCCTTAGAATGGGGTTGTTCACAGAGTGCAGGGGTTTGAGGCTGACTTTCAGGTCCTGGATTCGCATGTTGGCCAACTGTTCTGCATGGGCCTGTTGGATTCCTGCAACCACCGCCTGAATGCAAACACTGTCATCAGTTTTTCACATTCTGGGCACCTAAAAAGCCAATCTAAGACAGTGGGAAGGAGAATCACAAAGAACTAAGGTGGCAATTTCATTCTTATGCTGGCAGTATACAAATTTTGATAAGGCAGAGGACTCTTCCCCATGGATCAGCAGGGCCCAGGGAATACCAGGCCAACAGCTAGCCCTTCTTTCCTGTGGGCTGACAGAAATGCAAGTAAGAAATACTAACAAGGCTCATACTCATAGTCACTGGCAAGGGCAAGTGTAAAGAGAGTCATACATGTACATCAGGGGAAAAGCTAGCAGGCTGCCACCTGAGAAGCCTCCCTGACTGGCATTTACTCCCTGCCCCCATGGTGTAGACAGTCACCTTAGCCCTGATGGCTCAGAACCCCAAGCATTTCACCTGGTGAGCATAGTAGACCCTCACAAACTGATCTATAAGCCAGTCAATTAATTTACAATGAGAAATAACTGTCATAAGGTCTAGCACTCTTCAAGTCTGTCTTTATGACCAGTGCGTTCTCTTACTACGGGCAGACCAATAAGGGAAGGCAAATAATCAGAAAAGGCTTTGTAAGAATGAGACGATCCCACTTCTGTATTTAAAATAAAAGACAAACTCTGTGAGTGTGTGTGTGTCTCCCCAGCAAAAGATCAGGAAGAATACATCAAGCCATAGGTCACCTCACCTCTGAGGGGTGAGACTGAGGCAGGGTAATGAAAGGGAACTTTTGCTTTTTATTTTATATACCTCCGTGTTGTTTGAATTTCAACAACAAAATTTGACAATTTACAAAAATAGTTCCTTGGTAAGCATGCAATTAGATCAGGAAGAGTTTGAACTCATTTAAGAGAACTATACTAACTGGCCCTGGCTACACACCCCCAGACCCCTGAATCTATTTCCTTATCCGTGATAGCCCGACCAAAAAGATGGGAGCACCTCAAGGTTGTGAGCTCAGGCTCCATCTCTTAGGCACAGCTTAGATGGACACTATTCAGCTTCTGCATATGTGGACATTTTTTCTACACTTCCAAAGTTGACCAGCCTGCATCTTGACCACATCATTTCTTTAAAAATGGGAATACACTGTCACATTGCAGTTCCATCTTATAGGCCCAGGAGCTATTCCTCCTCATTAAGAAGATTATGCATATCCATACTTGGCTTCATTATACACTAATCTTAAAGTAACTCCAGAAGGCAATCTTATTTCTCCATTTCAAGATCTTGAGGAAAGCCACAATGTAACACTCAATTGCTGACAACCAGAGGGTGTAAGTAATCCTTTTGTATTTTGGACTGACCAAACAAACCATTTCTGGACTACTGGGCACATTTAAACCAGGAAGACAACTGCACACAAATCAGAGATAGCAGAAAACTCTGTTCCTTCTAGCTCTCCTTTCTCTCTCATACTCCAGCTAAACTAAGGGAGGTCTTAGCATTCTTTTTTCCTATTCGCTTACATTTCAACTCCATCCCTTCTAAGTCAGTAACACTCAAGTCTGTGTCACTGCCTTTCCCTCTCAGCCACATTCTGATTCCACACCACACATCCATCTACCACCTTAAACAATATCTAAAACCTAAGAGACCTCCCTTCACCCAAAACCAGCCTCATTCCTGATTTCCCTCTGTCAATGGTGTCACCAGATATGCCACCCACTGTCCCCTTATATCTAGTCAGTCACCAAAAATTGTAGAAATTTATCTTCAAAAATATTGAGCCTATTCATTCATCTCTACTTCTCTGCTCCTAGAGCAGCTTCTCAGCTTCTAGATTATTGTAAAAGTATTAGGTTGGCAAGTCTGCAAGTCTGACTAACCATCCCTAAACACCTTCCCTGTGGCAAATCTCTTCTCAAAAATCTACAATAGCCTCTCAATTATGTCCTGCTAAGACTTAAACCCCTCTGTCTACTTTCAAAGCCAGGTCTGCCACACCCATTTTACCAACTTCCCATCAATGAAGTCAGGCTTCATTACATGTAAAGGGGTTACACATGTAAAGGGGTTAAAAAATGCCACACAATAGTTAATAATTGTGATGGTTTTTGCCTTCTCTTTGGGAACCCTTCCCTAATTACAGCCCTTCAAAGATGTTCTCTTTTTCTGAATTTCCATAGCACTCACAGAAAATTTAGCATGCAAAAGCTCTGATGTCTGAAAATGTTCCCTCTTTGTTTTGTGTTTATTGGTCTTTCCAACCAGTCTTGTTTAAACTACTTGGGCAAAAGAACGGTGTCTGATACTGCTCTGGGCCCCCAACCCCATAGCACAAATATGAAGGATAGTCCTTTGAGTGTTCCCTTAGTGTATTTACCAGGCCTTGATCTGGTCTTTTACGGAAATAATCTCTTTATTTCCAATCCTGATCTTTGGAAGACCAGAGATATTTCTCTGGGAAAGACTGTGTGCTCTGCATTGTTTTGCCTTTAACCCCTCATTGAGTCAAGCCTCAGCATTCCTTCCCAACACAGCCTTTTCGGCCAACAAAATAAGCATCATTCAAAACCTTATCCATCATCAGTTGAGCAGAGGGTAGCACATTATCCAGGGCCTCAGTTGAGTTGAGCCAGGGGTGATCCAACACTCCCTCGATGGTAAGTCTTTCCTCTGGTTTGACCTTCAAGAGCCTGTGGAGAAAAGGCCAACAGGGCTGCCATGCAGTTGCTTCCAGAGGCCGGGAAGTTCCTGGGTCTGGCTCTAACCAGCTCCAGCTTCTGACTTTCCACCAACTCTTACAAGCCTAGGCTTTCTATTTGCAGGACAGAGGTGGGGCTCTCGTCCCTAACCGTTAGTTGTGAGGGCACTCTGTCCTTAGGCAGTTCTTTCTATACTAAATAAATTGAGATAAGAATGGTAGGAAAAGGCTTAGTCCAGTGATACCTCAGACTGAGTTCTAGGTTCAGTAAAGTAATCCTACATATGGCTTACAGTTCCTGAGACACTGAATCCCCAGACTAATGTTTCTAGAACAGTGGGCTATAATTTCCAAAAGGGACTCAAAGTGCTCTTTTGGCTAACAGTGACTGTAAAATTAGTCGAGGGGTCATACGGTTCTGAAAATCCAGGCTGCTACTTGTGATAAAACTCTTGTCACCATTTGGCAGGACATGAACCCTTTATTTCAAAGACATTCAAAAGCTAAAAATCTAGGGCTTCCCTGGTGGCACAGTGGTTGAGAGTCCGCCTGCCAATGCAGGGGACACGGGTTCGTGCCCAGGTCCGGGAAGATCCCACATGCCGCGGAGCGGCTGCGTCTGTGAGCCATGGCCGCTGAGCCTGCGCGTCCGGAGCCTATTGCTCCGCAACGGGAGAGGCCACAACAGTGACAGGCCTGCGTACCGCAAAAAAAAAAAAAAAAAAAAAAACACACAAAACAACAACAAAAAGCTAAAAATCTAATCTCTGAGAAGGGGATGGCATTTCCTTCTAAGCCTAATGCATTGTTCTGTACCATCGGCTTTTTGACCGTAGTTCTTTACATCTTGTACATTTATCCTAATGCAATTCCTAGCTCACCCCAGCATATTCCCTGGGCCTCTTACAGCACCTTCTTCCAAATACATAGCCTCCCATTCCAAACATCAGAGTCAGGACAACATGCCTACTTGCTCTTTCATGTTCTCTGTAACCTTTTGGATCATTGTGAACAAACAGCTTCAGATTCTAAAGAAAGGATTGTTTAGAAAAGAATCTCAATGCTGAAAGAAGATAATCAATGTTGCTCTAGGGAGAGGAAATATATTCTACAGAACTGCAAAGAACCAATTAGAGGATACTGATATTTTGGTTAAGTAACTGAGAATACAGCAGGGAAAGAGCATAGGAAGACAAATGATGATTTAAACATTGCCTCCACCCTCCTAAAAAACTTTCACCTGTATATTTTAGAAACTAGTCCCTTTTTGAATACATAAACACCTAACCAACAGAACAAGCTCACTTCTGAAAGAGAGTAATCTCCATACAGAAACAGCTGTACTGTTAGGAGACAGTTCTCAGGTACTGCCCTTTTAATGCTTATCTTTATCGCATTACAGATGAAGAAACTGAAACCAAAAGAGGAAAAGTTACTCAGTGAAGAACAAGCAGTAGGATACCAGAACAGCGTCCAAGTTCCAGTCCGCTAAGCCTCTGACACAGGTGGGTAGAAAAAGCAAAGACACCTCATATTTAGGTCTGACTTCTTTCTTAGTGCTCTAGCTAATTTCTCCAAAGGATTCTGAATGTCAAGTCTCCATCATCCATTCACTACCCCTAATTCTTCTAAATCTTTCCATCTTAATATACACCAGAGCAACCAACTAGCAGTAGGAAGGGCAGGAGGTGGGGTCCAGGCCCTGCACAACCAATCACACACTCCCACAGCAGCTAAGGAATGAAAAGCCAAAAGCATCATGGTCATTTTAGCACCCCAGTTCAGTTCCTGGAATCATGTCTGTCCCAAATGACCAACCTCGGTGCAGGAAGGGTACACCAGGGGGGTTACCATTTAAGGTCCTAAATTAATGCTCACAGATACAATGGCTACCAAGGGACCTGGATTCAACCCTAAGGACAAATTCTAGGAGTGCAACAGGAGGGAGCAAAGCTCCAATTTCACCAAGGTGTGGACACTGAGAACTCTCATCTCAGGCTCCAGGGAAAATTTTCTGTGATGCTAAAATGAGAAGGAGCATGCCTGGGAAACAAATGACTTTCCTTTACCCAACATTCCTTTGTGTTCCACCACTTTTAAGGCCTCCCTGGCCTCCCCCCGCAGTGGCCTGGGGACTCACTTCCTCACAACATCTTTGGCCATCTCTGAGATCTGGCTCCACTCTTCCTCTGGGAACTCAAAACTGCCTGTCATGATCTTTCTCCGCATATCCTTTGGGATAGTCCGGCTGTGGTGTCTGGAGTAAAAAGGAGGGTATCCGCACAACATCACGTAGATAATCACCCCTAGGGACCACAAGTCACAGCTCTGAAAGCAAAAAGAACATGGTCACTCACAGCAGAGGCACAGCTCTAAAATAAAGTCCCTAGGACTGACCCAGAAACAGCCCCTGATATACACAGGCTGATATCTCCGAGAATCACTTCACAGAGACTGTAAAAGCTTCAGGAAGTCTTAAGAGAATTAACCATTCTCTCCTTATTTGTTACGTGCTACCAACACTACACATGTGCACACCATATATACAAGGCCAGTCTGGGGTAAAATAGTCACTTATTCTCACTGCTTAGGCCCAAGCTGCTACCTGATTATTGGGTACAGATGTAGGATACTTTGTCCCCAGCCAGAAAAGTGGTAGATATAAGCCAGCTGGTTGTGAAACATTTACTCTGTCCACCTGGGCAGGGCTGAGGGTGCAGTAACAAAGTAGCTAGGACACAGGTGGGCTAACTCTAAAACAGCACAAGTCATTTTATAAAGGCCCAAAGCAGTCTGACAAAGATTAGGGATAGGCACTGCAGGGAAAAACAGGAGGCTAAAAGCAATCCTTTGGCCATGAAGGACTCACTGTGCCCATTTGCAAGACCATTCTTGGGGAAGATATTCTGAACGAAACAAAACTGCCACCAACTACCATGTCTGTAGATATTAAGGTGATTTCATGGCCTGTAGTCACAGCATGCTTATTAATAAAGGACTCCTATTTTAATTAAACGTAGCTCTACCTGCCTCGGAAACTGGGTCCTCAGAGGCTTCAACACAGAGGCTTGTCCTCCTGAATTGCAGGACAAAAGCAGTGTCCACCTGAGAAAGGCAGCCCAGGGAACCTGCCACTGTGGCCACACGCTCCTCACACCACAGCTGTGCGCTGCTCTGAGTGAAGCCTGGAAAATGAGGTGTCTCAGGTACTCTCAGCCATGTCTTGGCATCATACTAGTAGACATTTATAGATGACATGACCCATGCTGTAGAACATACTTATAAAATTATAGAGGTGGAGAGAAATCTTAAAAAATAGTTCACATGAGGAAACTGATACTACAGAGATCTTGTCATCTCTAAGGTCATCTGTCAAGAGTGAAACTAAGTGCACCAACCAACATCATACAGCTGAATGGTGGTGGAGTCACAGCAAGTCACCTGGCCTACTGCCTCTTTTTCTTTTTAATTAACGTTGATGTATTTATTTAACTTCTGAAATTTTAACTACATCTTTTTACATTATTTTTATTTAAAAAATTATTTGTAAATGTAGCAGTCAGTGTTCACTTAGTTGCCAATATAAAGATTATAACTAGACCAACATATATACACATTCAAATGTAATATGAACTTATTTCAATATACTACTCATCTGTGGAGTGTAAATTTTATGAATGCCATGCTAATTCACAAACACCACTAGATTCACAAAATGGAACAGGAAGAGGAGAAAAAAATAGTACTGGGAAATAATGTATCACACAAGAATCCATTGTATTCATGACGAGAAGACCGTATCAAGTAAATTAATATCTCTGTTAGCTAAGTGCTTCTACCACTCAATTCCTGTCTGCATTGGGAAGCAGGAAGCAGTTTCTGACTGACTATAATCAGCACAGCCCTCACTTCCAACCTTCACTATATAAGGGCACAGCTGCCTACAGTTTTGCAAGTAGATCAAGATGATGTGGAGCAGTTCTTACTTGGGGACTGAACAGTGTTAATCATGAAAGTAGTTGTTTAGCGTTCTGGTCATGCTGTGCCAGTGCCAGTGCCAATGCAAGTGGAGGGTCCTGAGTGCCACAGAAGCCTGTGTGTTCTTCAATATGTATGCCTGCATGTGTGCACGCACATGCATTAGGAATATGTGGGGCCCTCTAAAGGTGTGGGACCAGGAAGAGCTGGCCTGCCTTTCTACCATCCTCAGCTCCCTCTCTACCATCTATATCACCTGGAGTCCCCAAGCAGCATCATTTTTTTCTGATCTACTCAGTGACTCCAGGACCTCTAGGACCTGTTTCAAGAGGCCCTAAACCTCTCATACTTTAGAACAGAGAAGCTTGATGTGTAGGCTACTGATTAAGAACTGTGAAGTACCAGGTAACATTTGGGAGCACTTGCTATGTGTACCAGACACTGTTCTAAGTTGGGTATTTTATGGGGTTAGAAAGAATGGCACCATAAATGGACAAATAATATTCTCTGAAATGGCCTCCACCTCAAAAAAGCAAGACAAACATATCTTTAAATGTGATCAGTGGACTGTACAGCTAGCCAAATAAATAACCTCCAGGTGACCATAGCCTTTGGTTCCTGCTGCAAAACCTAAACTGGTATGAATCTTATTTCATCAGACAAATACTTGAATTCCACTCTTCTGCATATGTGGCTGCTTTCAGCCTCTTGGGCAGCAATATTAAGGGATAAGAATGGAATTTGCCACCTTCCCAGAGGGCCACAAACACCTCATAGGAGAAGAGGGGCTACACCCAAGGGGTAAAGATTAGTATCTCCTCTCCTACCTTGTTATAAGTGTAGGGTGTTGGCGAGGTAGGTATGATGCCAGATTTCTCCTTCTGATGCCTTCTCTGTGCCTCCAGTACCTGTCAGAGTTACACCAAAGGGGACAGTTTACTGAAAATCACACCAGCGACCTGCAGCTTGAGACAGACTGCTGGAAGGCTGAAGAGGGTAGTCACTGGCAGTCAACAATCAACAACTGAAAAAACTCTACATAAATACTTTCAAAAACTTTTTTCTTTCTTGGAATCAGCAATTTATTATCAGTGTTTGCCGAGGTCAAGGACATGAAGATTAAGTCCCTGAAGGAGAATTTATCTCTTCTTCCTCTCGATCTGAGGTTACTTTTCCCTAGGGGAGTCCCTTATGCCTTTGAAAGCAGTGAAAGCAGAATGGTGCTGGCCAGCAGTTCAGGTTCGAGGTATTTGTTGCCATGAGGGACTGTAATAGTCACATGGGTCTGGGTGTTAAGTGCTCCAAGGAGGTAACCACTGCCATCCACAGGGCCATCCTCCTGGCCAACCACTCCGCTGTCATGGGTAATGGGACTCCTGGAAACACAAGATTGGCAAACCCCATACAGTTCCTTGAAGGTGACAGGATACTGCAGCTCTCTGCTGGTATGCTTCATCCTTGCACCCAGATCCACTGCTAGTGTCTTGGTCTTCGTGGCCACAAAGCTGCTGCTGACAGCAGGCACTGAAAACTGTTACCCCTTGGTCAGCGGCTGCACAGGCTCGTTGGGCAACTTTACCAAGGCCACCTTCGATGCCACCTCTAAGACCTACAGCTATCTTACACCTGACCTCTCGAAGGGGACTGTGCTCACCAAGGCTCCCTATAAGCAATTCATTGACCATCTTGTGTTGCACAAGGCTTGTGTTTTCACAAAAGAATAATAAAGTGAATTAATTAAAACTGAAAAAGAAAATACCACTTATGAGAGCATAAAAATTTAAGAATTGGGCTTCCCTGGTGGCGCAGTGGTTGAGAGTCCGCCTGCCGATGCAGGGGACAGGGGTTTGTGCCCCGGTCTGGGAAGATCCCACATGCCGCGGAGCGGCTGGGCCTGTGAGCCATGGCCACTGAGCCTGCGCGTCCAGAGCCTGTGCTCCGCAACGGGAGAGGCCACAACAGTGAGAGGCCCGCGTACCGCAAAAAAAAAAAAAAAAAAAATTAAGAATAAATCTAAAAAGACATGTGAAAGACCTGTACATGAAAACTATACAAATATTGCTGAGCAAAACCAAAGACAAAAATACAGCTGGCTTATGGGTCAGAGGGCTCAATATTGTTATGATGTCAGTGATCCCATACTGAACTATACGTTTAAAACAACCCTAGTCAAAATCCCAGCATGCTTTTTTGTAGAAGTAAACAGCCAATTCTAAAGTTCATATGGAAATGCAAAGAAATTTGAATAGCCAAAACAACTATGAAAAAGAAGAACAAAGTTGGAGGGCTAAAACTACCTTATCTCAAAAATTATTAAAAAGTGTCAATAATCAAAACAGTATGGTATTAGTGTAAAGACAGACAAAGAGATCAATGGAACAGAGTGGAAAATCCAAAAATAAACCCACACATATACATTCGACTAATTTTTGACAAAGGCTCAGAAGCAATGCAGTAGAGAAAAGATAGTTTTTCAACAAATGGTACTGGAACAACTAGATATCCAAATGCTAAAAAATGAACTTGGATCCATACCTCACACATTATACAAAAATTAACTCAAAATGGATCACAGACCCAAATGTAAAGCCTAAAATTATAAAACTTGTAGCATAAAATCTTTGTGGTCTTGAGTTAAGACAGATTTCTTGGATAGAAAACCAAAAGCAGAGTCCATAAAATTTTTTTTTTAAATTAACAAATTGGCCTTCACACCAAAATTAAAATCGTTTGCTCTTCAGAAGATGTTGTTACCACCTCACACCAGTCAGAATGGCCATCCTCAAAAAGTCTACAAATAGGGACTTCCCTGGTGGCACCGTGGTTAAGACTGCACGCTCCCAATGCAGGGGGCCCAGGTTTGATCTCTGCTCAGGGAACTAGATCCCATTTGCATGCCGCAACGAAGAGTTCATATGCCACAACTAAGGAGCCCACCTGCTGCAACTAAAAAGCCCAAGTGCTGCAACTAAGGAGCCTGCAAGCTGCAACTAAGGAGCTGGTGAGCTACAACTAAGGATCCCACCTGCTGCAACTAAGACCCAGCACAACCAAATAAATAAATATTTTTTAAAAATCTACAAATAATAAATGCTGGAGAGGGTGTGGAGCAAAGGGAACCCTCCTACATTGTTGGTGGGAAAGTAAATTGGTGCAGCCACTATGGAAAATAGTATGTAGGCTCCTTAAAAAACTACAAATAGAGTTACCATATGATCCAGTGATCCCACTCCTGGGCGTATATCCAGAAAAGATGAAAACACTAATTTGAAAAGATATATGCCACCCAATGTTCACAGTAGCACTATTTACAATAGGCAAGACATGGAAACAACTTAAATGTCCATCGATAGAGGAATGGATAAAGACGATGTGATACACACACACACACACACACACACACACACACACACACACACACACACTGGAATATTACTCAGCCATAAAAAAGAATGAAGTAATGCCATTTGCAGCAACATGGATCGACCTAGAGATTATCATACTAAGTGAAGTCAGACAGAGAAAGACAAATATCATGTGATATCACTTATACGTGGAATCTAAAAAAGTGATACAAATGAACTCATTCACAAAAGAGCAACAGACTCACAGACTTAGAAAACTAACTTATGGTTATCAAAGAGGAAAGTGGGGGAGAGATAAATTGGGAATTTGGGATTAACAGATACCCACTACTATATATAAAATAGATAAACAACAAGGACCTATTGTATAGCACAGGGAACTATATTCAATGTCTTGAAATAACCTATAATGGAAAAGAATCTGAAAAAGTATATATGCATGTGTGTGTGTGCATGTGTGTAACTGAATCACTTTGCTGTACACCTGAAACACCGTAAATCAACTATGCTTCAATTTTTAAAAAAAGAAAAAAAAAAGACACTGTTAAGAGAATGAAAGATAAGCCACAGACTGGAAGAAAATCTTTCCAAAGCATATATCTGATAAATGACTTATATCCAAAATATATTTAAAAAACTGTAAAATTCAGCAATAAGAAAATAAACAATCCAATTTAAAATATGGGGAAAAGATCTGATCCGATACGTCACCAAAGAAAATATACAGACAGCAAAGAAGCACCATGGATGCTCAACATCATTAGTTATTAGGGAAATGCAAATTGAAACCACAATGAAATACTGCTACACAGTCACTAAAATGGCTAAAAAGACTGTCCAGGGGACTTCCCTGGTGGCACCGTGGTTAAGGCTCCATGCTCCCAATGCAGGGGGCCCGGGTTTGATTCCTGGTTAGGGAACTAGATCCCACATGAATGCTGCAACTAAGGAGCCCATGTGCTGCAACTAAAGAGCCAGCAAGCTGCAACTAAGGAGCCCTCGAGCCACAACTAAGGAGCCTGCCTGCCTCAACTAAGGAACCCACGTGTCACAACTAAGAAGCTGGCGAGCCTCAACTAAGGAGCCCGTGAGCCACAACTAAGAACCCTACCTGCTGCAACTAAGACCCAGCGCAACCAAATAAATATTAAAAAAAATTAAAATACATAAATAAATAAAAAATAAAAAGACTGTCCATACCAAATGCTAGTAGGAATGTGGAGGACCTGAAACTTTCATACACTGCCGATGGGAATGTAAAATTGAACACCACTTTGGAAAACAACTTGGCAGTTTCTAAGTAAGTTAAATACATCTACCACATGATCTAGCCATTCCACTCTAGGTATTTACCAAAGAGAAAAGGAAATAAATGTCCATCCAAAAACCTGTGCAAAAATGTTTGTAACACGTTTATTTTTAACAGCCAAAAACTGAAAACAACCCAGATGTCCATCAATAGATGAGTGGATAAACGAACCATGGTATATCCACATAGTGGAATACTTCCCAGCAGTAAAAACGAAAGAACTATTGATACATGCAATAACATGGATAAATCTTAAACGTAATTTTGCTGAGTGAAAGAAACCCCCCCCAAAAGAAAATACCATACGATGTGCTACTTTATATATAAATCTACAGAAAATGCAAACTAATCTATAATGACAGAAAGCAGATCAACTGCTGCCTGGCAATGAAGGGAAAAATAGAGAGGCAGGGAAGGATTTCAAGGGGCACAGTAAAATTTTGGGGGGTGACAAATATGTTCACTACCTTGACTGTGGTGATGGTTTAATGAGTGTGTGTGTATGAACTTATAAGTTGTGCAAGTTAAATATGTATAGTTTATCATGTATCAATTACATCTCAATAAAAAAATTTTTTTAAAGAAGGCTTATATAAAACAAATCTCGGAAAGAATAAGCACCAGCTATATATATATGTATATGTCCATCAATAGATGAGTGGATAAACGAACCATGGTAAGAACCAAGAAAACAGGACCTGACCAAGACTGAGGCTGGTTCAGAAAAGAGATACCTCTCCACCCATCGTTGCCATCACCCTCCATCAGGCTAGCAAGCACCAAGTAATAAGTAACAGCAGTCCACTGTTAGTGGCAGAAAAAGACTGTGAAGCAAAAGCCCCTCTGAGGCAGAGGCACACAGCCAATGCCAAAGATAAAGATGGAGAAGAAACACAAAAAAACACACAAACCTGTGGCACCCCAAACCCCACCCTAAGCACAAGGTAACAAAAGAGGAATCTCAAACCAGTGACACAGTAAAAATAACAATAGCAACAACAGAGCTCACACTAAGCTCAACTCCTAAGTAGACTGGCTCAATTCCCTACTCCCATACTAAAGGACTAACTGCAGAAGCAGCAAGCCAACTTCTAGACTTCCACCTCCATCTCTACAGATCCTACAAAGATTTAAAAGGTTAATAAGGGATTATCATAATTTTATGCCAATAAATTAAAAAACAGTCAAATTTCTTAAAGACACAAATTACTAAAACTGGCTCAAGAAGAAATATAAAAATTCAATAGACCTATACCTATTTTTAAATTGATTACATCATTAAAAATCCACAATGAAAACTCCAAAATACCAATCTTACACAAACTGTTTCAGAAAATAAAGGAGGAAGACACATTTCCCAACTAATAGTATGATGTCAGCATTATTACCCTGATACCTTGAAACAAGGCAAAGACATTATGAGAAAGGATTATGGACCAATATCCCTTTTGTTAAAAAACACAAAATCCTTAACAAAATATTAGCAAAACAAATCAATCATCATGACTGAGTTTTATCTTAGGAATGTAAGATTGGTATAATGCCTGAAAATCAATTAATTCATCATATTAACAAAATGAAGAAAAAATATATCATCAGTTCAATAGATGCAGAAAAAGCATTGGGTAAAATTTAACACATTCCCTTTCAGTAAACTAGGAACAGAAGGAAACTTCCTCAACCTGATAAAGGACATCTACAAAAAACATAACAGTTAATATCATACTTAATGGTGAAAGACTGAACATTTTTTCTGTAAGATCAGGAACAAGGCAAGGATGTCTGCTCTCATCACTTATATTCAACTGGTAGTTCTAGCCAACACAATAAGGGAAGGAAAAGAAATAAAAGGCAAACATACTGGAAAGAACAAAGTAAAACTATCTTTATTCACAGATGACATGACTCTGTATGTAGAAAATCTTAATAAATCTATTAAAAAAATCTACTAGGATTAATAAGCGATTTAGGCAAGATCCCAGGATTCAAGGGATCAAAAATCATTTATTTCTCTACAAACTATAAACAAACAATTGGAAAATGAAATTTTTAAAAATATCATTTCCAATAATTTCCATAAACATAAAATATAGGAAAAAATTTAAGAAAATAGGTATAAAACCTATACACTAAGAAATATAAATGTTTCTGAGAAAAATGAAAGACCTAAATAAATAGAAAGATATACTGTTTGGGCTTCCCTGGTGGCACAGTGGTGGAGAGTCCGCCTGCCGATGCAGGGGACACGGGTTCGTGCCCCGGTCTGAGAGGATCCCACATGCCGCGGAGCGGCTGGGCCCATGAGACATGGCCGCTGAGCCTGCACGTCCGGAGCCTGTGCTCCGCAACAGGAGAGGCCACAACAGTGAGAGGCCCACATACAGAAAAAAAAAAAAAAGATATACCACGTTCATTAAATAGAAGACTTTATATTGTTAAGATGTCAATTCTCTCCAAATTCATCTATAGATTAAATACAATTCAAATCAAATCCCAGGAGGCTTTTCTGTCATAGAGAATTGAATTCTAAAATTTACAGAGAAATGCAAAGGATCCAGAATAGTGAAAACAATTTTGAAAAAGAATACATTTGAAGGACTTATTACACTATCTGAGGTCAAGACTTAATATAGGTCAAGACTTAATATAAAGCTACAGTGATCCAGATGATATATAGACGTATGTATCAAATAAACAGAATAGAGCCTAGAATAGACCAACACATATATGGTCAATTGATTTTCGACAAAACTGCAAAATAATTCAATTCGACAAAACTGTAAGGTAATTCAATGAGGCAAGGATAGTCTTTTCAACAAGTGATATGGAAACAACGACATCCATAAGGGAAAAAAAGAAGCTTGACCCTTTACACACACACACACACACACACACACACACACACACACACACACACACCTCAAATGGATCACAGTCTAAAATGTAAAAGCTAAAACTATAACCTTTAATAAGAAAACATGAGAAAATCTTCATCTCCACGGATATGGAAAGACTTCTTAGGAACAAACAGCACTAACCATTGAAAAAAAGAATTGGTGAATTGGACTTGATCAATATTTAAAACTTCTACTATTCAAAAGATCATTAAGAAAACTGATGGGGACTTCCCTGGCGGTCCAGTGGCTAAGACTCTGTGCTTCCAATGCAGGGGGCATGGGTTCGACCCCTGATCAGGGAACTAAGATCCCACATGCCATGTGGCACGGCCAAAAAAAAAAAAAAAGAAAACTGAAATGCAAGCCACAGACTGAGAGAAATATTCATAATACATATGTTGTAGGCAGGATAATGGCCTCCCAAAGAAGTCCTGTCCTAATCCCTGGAATCTATGAATATGTTACCTTACATAGCAAAAGGGACTTCTAAGATTTGATTAAATTAAGGATCTTGAGATGGGGGATTATCCTGGATTACCCAGGATAATCTGACCAATTATCCTCAGTCAGAGTCAGAGACACTGGAAGATGCTACCTACATTGCTGTCTTTGAAAATGGAGGAAGAGGCCACAAATCAGGGCTTCCCTGGTGGCGCAGTGGTTGAGAGTCCGCCTGCCAATGCAGGGGACACGGGTTTGTGCCCCGGTCTGGGGGAATGCCACGTGCTGCGGAGCAGCTGGGCCCGTGAGCCATGACCGCTGAGCCTGCGCGTCCGGAGCCTGTGCTCCGCAATGGGAGAGCCCACAGCAGTGAGAGGCCTGCCTACCGCAAAAAAAAAAAAAAAAAAAAAGAGGCCACAAGCCAAAGAATGCAGGTAGCCTCAGAAGCTGAAAAGGCAAGGGAATGGATTCTCCCCTAGAGCCTCCAAAAGGAACACAGTCCTGCTGACATCCTGAACCATTTCAGACTTCTGACCTCCAAAACTGTAAGGTAATAAATGTGTGCTGTTTTAAGTTACTAAGTTTGTGGCAATTTGTTACAGCAGCAGTAAAATATTAATACATATATATGACAAAGAACTTGTATCCAGAATATAATTTAAAAAATTCTTATATCTCATTTATTAAACAACACAAAAAGGGCAAAAGATTTGTACCCATACTACACAACAGAATGTTGTACCCATATTTCACAATAGAACAGCCAGTAGACACATGAAAAAATATTCAACAACAGTAGCCATCAGGAAAATGCTATAATTAAATCCATAACGAAATAACACGAACATACCTACCAGAATGACCAAGATTATAAACACTAACAAACATAAGTTGGTGATAAGAATGTGAAGAAACTGGAACATTTACATTACATTAGTGGTGCATACAACCATTTTGGAAAAAGATTTTACCTAAAGGTAGGGGTATGTCCCCCAAAACTCGTAAATGAATGTTCCTAGCAACTTTATTCCTAATGGTGAAAAATAGGAAACAACCCCAAATGGCCATCAGTCAGTGAATGGATAAACAAATGTGGCTTGGTCATATGATGGAATACTACTTAGCAATAAAAAGGAACTAATTACTGATACACACAGAAACATGGATGGATCTGAAAAACATGCTGAGCCAAAGAAGTGAAACACAAAAGGTACAAAATTCCATTTTTATGAAATTCTACAACAGGCAAAACTAACCAATAATGACAAAGTAGATCAGTGGTTTTAATTAAGGGGATTAAGTTGGGAGCAGAATGACTGCAAAGGCACACAAGACAGTTTTTGAAGTGATGGAAATGTTTTGTATTTTGACTTTGGTGATGTTCACGCAGGAGTATCCATTTGTCAAAACTCATCAAACTACACTTAATGTAGAAGTATTTTATTGTATATTAATCATACCTCAATAAGGCTGCTTTTAAAAGAATAAAATGCCTGCACCAAATTAAGCAGCCTATAGGTTTGTGAAGCTGAGTCCTCCTTCCATTTGTAATATATACCCACTCATGCTGTGGAATGGAAGAAACATGAGTCTACAGGCAGCTTGGTGACACATCCTACGGAAGAAACAGCACATGCTTACCTGAGGTGCTACATAATATGGGGTGAACTGAGGTGTCATCAAGTCACCTTGGTCAATTTTGGCAAATCCAAAGTCACATAACTTCACTGGGGCATCCTGAAATAAAACAAATGGGAGTCACTGCTCCAGAGTTCTCGGAAAACGTTAAAGGAAAATGCAGGTGCAAGACATGTTACCTTAAGCTCTCAGGAGTTTCTAGCTGAGACCTGAACCTATGAGTAGCATGTCCTCAGCTCTGGAGACAATGATTCATATTTAGAAACTGTTCTTAGTAATACAGAAGTAAGGAATTTCTACCCACTCACAATTATCCCTGTTTTATAACTTGTAAAGGCAGCACTAAAATCAAGATGCTTCCTGACTCTATTGGCCCATTATCTCTCATCAATCTAGGGTGCTGCTTCACCCTCAACATCAGCTTCATGATAGCCAGAGTAAGTTATCTGGTGGGACACAGTGCATGGGGCATGGATTGGGGCTGGAGAGGAAAACACACCTTATGAGGGTTAACACTGAACACAACCACTAAGTTCCAAGGTAACATATAACAGCATATAGATTCCTGCCCCTTCCCAAAGTCCTTCCAAATAATATCCAAATTCTAAAGTCCTTATGTACAAACACACATCAGTGTCATCCAAAATGATCGATGCCAGGGGTATGGTACAATTTCTCTGAGCCTCTAGCAAGGAAACAGATATGGGAAAAGTAAGCTGCTTGCAGCGCTTTGGCCTAAAGCCTCTTCACCATGGATTCAGAGCACTCCAAACATATACACACCTACACACTGTTCCTGAACTATACTGAGAGTAGCAGCACTAAAATACAGAAGGGCAAGTCATCTCACCAAAGAGTTATCCTTGAAGAGCAGATTTTCAGGCTTGAGGTCTCTGTGTGCGATGTTTAACAAGTGACAGTGCTGTAGAGCCAAAGCTATCTGGAAAGGACATAATGGAGCAACCATATCTTAGAAAAGATAGCTCTTTAATTCCCCTGGTTTAGAGAACTCAGGATGTTAAAAAATGATCCTTACTAAGTCAATTAAGACTGTGGTCAGTTTTCAATTTTAAAGCAGAAATTAAGTAAGATTTCAGATATCAAGAAATAGAAATGAATTAAGCTGTATTTTGTTCAACAAAAAGAAAAAATACAACAGTAAAACAATTCTTTGTCATAATCAACTGATGGTTAAATCCTGTATGAAATGGGAAAAATGAAATACTTGCACTTCCATTAATCTGAGATGTGACAAGTACTGCAAAGCAAACACTGGGCCAGGCAGTCTTCAGAGGGCCTGGCTTCCCCCTAGCAGGGCAGTGGCACTAACGCCTGACTCAAAGGAAACCTGCACTCTTCAGGGAGCCCAACTTGAAGTTCTGCTTTCAAGAACAACAGAAAGCAGCTGAATGGATTTTTCCACCTGATGTTCTAATCTGCCCGTCCCACCGGTTGAAAATGTTGCCTGTTTAGGTGGATTTAAAGGAGTTTGGTTTTACAGAAGATTATCAGAGCTCATCCTTTAGGCCTAATATTTGAAAAATACAAGCTATAATTTTTAAAATCAAATAGAACAGATTTTATCTGTTCTTTAACACTCTGTATGGAATTGCCTTGGCATTCCAAATATCAGTTCCTCCCTACCAGAAAGGAGGCATCAAAAAATGCTTGAGGCTCACAGAAAATTTGGAAGAATTTTTTCATTAAGAACCAGTTGGGCTACGTGTCCTGCTTCTCTCTGCTTTGCTTGCTTGGCCTGAAGAGAAACCTTGAGGGTTTAGCTTTTTCATCTCCTCATGAGGTTATTTCCAGTTGGATTCCTAGTATTGTTTGTGACGTACATCATTCCTCTAGCAATAAAATGTGATGTCAAAATAGAGAGAACATAAAACCAGGAATAACCCAGAATTACAAAGACCTTAGACTACTATTAAAATCTGATGAGAGAAAGGTGACTCATAAGCATAAAGTATCTTATATGTAATTGCCTTAGAACATATTTTTACACCATACAGTCTTTCAGGTAGTATCACTAGCATTTTATCTCAAAGTCCAATAACAGTGCTTGGAAGCTATACGTCTAAAGATTATCTACAATCTAAAAAGGAGTTAAGATTACCTTCCTTCCAGAGTTTATTTAAATCTTATCATAGGCAAACAATTGAAAACCACTTAAGAATACAGGTTCCCCCCACCAAAGCATAAAAGGGGGTCACATTCCTCCTGTCAAGGCATCTTTTCTAATTACATAACAAAGCAGGCAATGAGAGATCAAATAGAGCTTTTCTTCAAGCTTTCTTTTATTCCCCCCAATGAAATTGTGCTTGTTAACCAACACCGTTGGCAGTCTGATTGGTACCCGGGGTTAACTTGCCTGCTTTGTTACTTGGCTGGCTTGCTTCTCTGTAAAGTGCCGGTGCTGGCTGATTCTGTGAAATAGCTCTCCCCCTTCCATCATCTCCATTACAATTAAGAGTCGAGCCCTGTTTGAAAGCATTTGATTTTGTTAAGTTAAAAAACAAAGCAAAACAAAACAAAACTGAAACATCAAGTAGCTAACCTAGATACCTCATCTACAAAGTGTTACTACTTCCTAAATCTAGTCCTACCAAGCCCCTTTGAGTTGGATCCCTTGTCACTACCAGCTGGACACTATGAATGAGGACTATCCCTGACCTAAAGGTTTCTAAGAAGCTAAAAGAAAGCAGAAGAATTAGTTTTGAAGACAATGATCCTTTTGAAGATTCTGTACTTAACTTGTATATACATTTTATGGAAGCTACACTGAAAGTGTATCGAAAACAGAATACGACTTTGTATAGGACATGAATATCAAGTCATTCAGTTGGGCTGTCTTGGTTATTCACTCTTGTGTGTGTGTGTGTGTGTGTGTGGGCTGTCTTGGTTATTCACTCGTGTGTGTGTGTGTGTGTGTGTGTGTGTGTGTGTGTGTGTGTGTGTGTCTGTGTCTCCCCCTCTCTACTCCCTGCCCACTCCACTAGTTTTCCATATGACCCACAGCATGCCCAGCAAGATAGCCAGATAGGGTTACACAGCTACTAAATAAAAGCAAAAATTCTCATGTTGTGAAAAAAAAAATCCGAATTTTGGTTACCACTCTTTGATATAAATGCTTCCAGCTTCCATCCAAATGCTTTCACCAACAGAGCACAATTTTAAGAAATAATCATTTGATTTCCCATTCTTCTTTACAAATTCCATCTTTTTCCATCTGGAAAACTCCTACTCACCCCCTTCAAGTCCTCGCCCCCACGTAACTGCTCTGAGACACCTCGCCTCCCTAGCCTACAGAGGGCAGCTCTCCTCCTTTGTAAGCTCAAAATACTTTATGCATGCCTCTCCTTGGTACCTATCACACTGCTAGAATAATAGGTTTACATCTCAGTCCCTTCAATGGAAACCATACCTTATTTAACTTTGAATTCCCTGGAAAAGATTTAGAATGACACCCAATGAGCTTGCCAAACATTTGGAGGCTAAAAGAATGATGTTGATTTCTTCCTTTAAAAGGAATGTCAGATTCAGCAATAAGGGCTTTTTGCCATATCAACTTCTAAGACATTGCCTAGAATAATATTTGGTCTCCTTTTGCTAATTTGAAATAGAATCTGTTTTAATTCCACATTACTCAGGGGGGGCCAGGAGAGTGGGTAGGGTATAGATGAAGCACGGCTGGCAATGAGTTGATAACTGTTGAGGCTGGGTGATGGGTACTTAAGGATTCATTACATGATTCTTTTACAAATGTTTGAAAATTTCCAAATTAAAAAGTAAAGGAGAGAAGAAAAAGAAAGAGGAAGGGGGGGAGGCAGGCAGGGAGGGAGGGAAGGGAAGGGAGAGAAAGAGGGCACAAAAGAAAAGAAGACCCCACTACACCTTGGCTTACATATGGAGAGGTGGTCATGTGATAATGACCCTGTGTAGTCTTACCTGGGGCTGGACTCATGAGGAAACTGTACACTGTTAGCAAACACTTCAATGATTTGAACTATATTTGGGTGTGTGGCACACATCATGTGCAGACGTACCTTAAAGAAGAACAGAGGAAATGTTTCTGTACATAGGGGATGCCAACATTTTCTCTCCAAACTTTCCCCCCAAAACTGACCACACTAGGCCCGTGGATGAGCCTATTACAGTAAAAAACCTTATCACCTGGAATGATGTAAAAAAAAAAGTGTTTTCATACAGAGATTACCTCCTTAATGCTCTTTCCATGAAAAAAACCTCACCGACAGGTTTATTTACTTCTACTGTCCTATCTATTAGCAAATGAAAAATTTGGTAAATAATACATCTTATTTCAGAAATTATTCATATATCTCTAAGCAAAAGAATAAGTCCTTCATTGCATATTATTAACATGTCATCACCACATCCAAATAATTTTAAACAAATGCCTATTATTAAAAACTAGAAATACATCCTCAGAGTTCTCCTGCAACATCTTTTCAATACACTATTCACTAGAACCTTCCTCATACTATTTTATCTCCACTCTTTAAAGACCTTTTCCAATAAGCAAAAGCTGAAGTAAACCTGAGTATTTTGGGGTATAAGAATAGCATTAATTGAAAAAGAACAAAAGGTGGTTTGAAAGGAAGCAAGACTTCACTAACAGCTTTTGGTATTGATGGATGAAGAACTGCTTTATAATGATAACATGGAATAGCAAAAAGTATGAATATAAAGAGAGTAAGTATGAACATAAAATTCTTTGTGAATCTCTGTATTCTCTCCATGAAGCTGCCTTACTTGTAAAGAGAATAATTCTTAGGCACTTCAAATATTTAGGCAAATCAAGGCAATAAAGGACCATACCTCATTTCTAGCTTTTGGACGATCAAAAAGAATTTTCAGTGCAAACCGTTCTTGGGTAGATTTCTTCACACAGACTCTAGATTTGGAGAAAAAAGTTCAATCAGAAATTATCTAAGTTACAGTGAAAACTAATTTAGCAAGCTGTTCTTTGAGAACTGTGCTTCTAATCAAAAATATATCCAGGCACATCAGAACAAACTTGCCCCCAGGTCTAGCAGATGGAAAGGCAGAAAGGCATCTCGCCCACCCTTCACAGGCCTTAGACATGTGAAATCAACTTGATGCTGGCCAAGAAAGACAAAATGGCCTCTGCTGGCTACAAGTGACTCATACAGTGGCTCCATGGTATCAACATCTTAAATGATTCTGTTACAGATCATGTGACTTCGTCACTTAAATATATTTCTAAATGGATGAGAAAAAGCCTATCATAAATACCTCTGCTTGTTAAATTAAGGCTGTTTCACAAATCTGGCAAACCTAATGCTTCTAACTTAAGATGTATTTCGAACAGGTCCTCTTGAGAACAATTGTGTCATAGTTTGCACATGGGTCTCTTACCTAACTGGACCACTAATTCCAGCTCCCAGCTTCTGAGTCCAATTGATATTGTATTCCTCTAAAATGGAGGTTTCCTATTAAAATAAAAATGGAGGAGGCAGAGAATGATTCTCCAGTTAAAAAGCTGAATAGTTAAGCAGAGGTGGGACAACAGAAAACCTTAATGCTCAACATCTCAGCTTCTGAAAGAAGCTGATAAGTAGAGCTTTGTGTAGGGCTTTATAATTACACATTTCGCCTACAGGACTATGCTAGGCATTGCTTTCCAACAAGAGAAGGCAAACTTTAGGATAAAAAGAAATTCTTCAGCTCATCTGCAAGGTCCATGTGAGTAAATACTCGTGGTTTTTTTTTTTCTTGAGTGTGGGAAGAAGATATTCTTTCAAAATGTTTCACTACTAAGTACTTACTTGCCAAATGGTCAAGTATATTTTCTGAGATTCTAGAAAGACTGGTCTGATATATGCTGCTATGATATAGAGGTCTATATCCTTGAACAAGTTGATCAAATTGGAATAACTGAATAAATTAAAACTTAAAAGTTCAAATAAAATAGTAATAAATATTGTAGTACATTTATCTAGTTTTCAAGTGCTATTTTGAGTACAAAGATATTGTCACGTTCACTGTATAACTATATTCTTCACAGTTTTAATAGATTCCAATAGCTTTCAATAGTTCCAGATACAGCCTCTACAGTTTAATTAAAGTTTTTATTGAATTACTGTGTAGTCACTAAATATTGAGCTTCTGTTGCCATATGTTTTTAGGCAAGAAAGCCATACACTTAAACTGTGGTAGGCTAAAATTCATTTTTCAGGGTTCCACGAGTAGAACAGAAAACCGACTACAGACCTGGAGAAATTAGGCCAAAACTCATGAGACTATCAAATTGTTTTGTTGCAATGAAAATCTGATAGATTATAATTAGCAACAGAATCTTGATTCCCAGGTATAGGAACAGAATATTTGTCCATGTAACACAAACTCAATGAGCAGTTAGTAAGTGCCAGACACCAGGATAAGTTCAGAGATGAAAACAGCTTCTGTCCAATGAATATGTAAGTGTATAAAACAAGTTTAGAATAGCCTTCATCTCCACACCTTCCTGCTGCCAGTTCTTGATAAAGGTTCCCATCATATAGTAAATGCTCAATAACTATGGAATGAATGACTAGAAAGGTGGACTAAAACCAGGTGATGGAAGGACATTGATTTGCGAGGGACTAGCAAAATCATTACACAAACTCTCTTCTGAAAAACTGTATATCAGGGTTAAGGAGCTTGTCAAAGTCACACAGTGAGTTATAGGCACTGATAAGACTAGAAACTATGGCTTTGGCCTCTTCCCCAGCATCATTCATCTTTGGCATCATCCCCAGCTATCAGGGGTAACTGCCCAGGCCCCTGCATGAGGATTAGGAATGAATCCTGCCCAATTAGGGAGGTCCCAGGTCTCTACTCACCATCTCCTAAACAGAATTCAAACCTACCCATTTAACCTGTCTACCTCCTTCATGTTTCCACTGCCTATCCTGCCGGATTCAGAAGTATTTGAGAAGACAGAGAGGAAGACAGAATTGGGAAAGAAAGAATTGGAGCATAGTCTATGCTTCATGGTAGAGTAAAATTTGCCAGGCCTCTAATGAAGACATACACTCACTGGAGACTCAATGGAAAAGACAGATTCATTCTATGGAATTATTTGTTACAGTCAGATCAAAGGACTATTCATATGTCCAGTTCCTGGGATGTAAAAATAATATTAGACCAAATTCTTCACTGCACTGGTGCTTATTAAGATGGTACTCTACCTAATGGACAGCCAAGAAAGTTCAAATTATAGAGGCTCTGACTGAAGTTTTGACACTTGGCTTTGCAGAAGGTTAAGAGAAGCACTACCAGATCTCTCTACAGCCCTGATCTCTGAACCCTGTTTTTCTTACGTCTGTTGTCCTCTTTACCAGGTTTAATTCTTGCACATTTGTTGATGGTGCCATAAACACTAACCAGTTCTAAGACTTCACTAAGCCCAGCTGGGCAAAAGAAGTAACATTCTCACATCAGCCGACTCTTCTATGTGTAGATGGCATATTTTCTCACATATTTTAATGGCAAAGAGAAGGTAAAAAGGCATGGGTCAATTAAGACACTTTATTGAAGAAAATTATGGACTACCTCAAATGTATCAATGACAAATACATTGACTGGGTTCTGCTAAAGAAATCTATACACTGGGATTTCCCCAGTGGCACAGTGGTTAAGACTCCGTGCTCCCAATGCAGGGGGCCTGGGTTCTATCCCTTGTCAGGGAACTAGATCCCACATGCATGCCACAACTAAGAGTTCACAAGCCACAACAAAGGAGCCCATGTGCTGCAACTAAGGAGCAGGCGAGCTACAACTAAGGAGCCCTCAAGTCACAATTAAGGAGCCCGCCTGGCACAACTAAGACCCAGCACAACCAAATAAATAAATAAATATATATATTTTTAATCTATACACTGTCTTAAATAAGGATATAGACTCATGGAATGAAGTACAGTTGACCCTTGAACAAGATAGGGGGTTAGGGGTGCTGGCACTGGCACAGTCAAAAATCCACGTATAGGGCTTCCCTGGTGGCGCAGTGGTTCAGAGTCCACCTGCTGATGCAGGGGACACGGGTTCATGCCCCGGTCCAGGAAGATCCACATGCCGTGGAGCGGCTGGGCCCGTGAGCCATGGCTGCTGAGCCTGCGCGTCCGGAGCCTGTGCTCCGCAATGGGAGAGGCCACAACAGTGAGAGGCCTGCGTACCACAAAAAAAAAAACAAAATCCAAGTATAACTTTAGGGTCAGACTTCGTATCAGGAGTTCCACATCCATGGTTTCAAACCACAGATCATTTAGTACTGTAATCCATCTTTACTGAAAAAAAATCCATACATAAGTGGGCCCACACAGTTCAAATCTGTGTTGTTCAGGGCCTCTCTGGTGGCACAGTGGTTGAGAGTCTGCCTGCCAATGCAGGGGACGCAGGTTCGTGCCCCGGCCTGGGAGGATCCCACATGCCATGGAGCAGCTAGGCCCATGGGCCATGGCCGCTGAGCCTGCACGTCCGGAGGAGAGGCCACAACAGTGAGAGGCCCGCATAACGCAAAAAAAAAAAAAAAAAAAAAAGACACATGCACCCCAGTGTTCATTGCAGCACTATTTACAATAGCCAGGTCATGGAAGCAACTGAAATGCCCATCGACAGATGAATGCATAAAGAGGATGTGGTACATATATACGATGGAATATTACTCAGCCATAAAAAGGAGTGAAACTGGGTCACTGGTAGAGACGTGGATGGACTTAGAGACTGTCATACAAAGTGAAGTCAGAAAGAAAAACAAATATCGTATATTAACACATATATGTGGAATCTAGAAAAATGGTACAGATGAACCAGTTTGCAAGGCAGAAATAGAGACCCAGATGTAGAGAACAAACATATGGACACCAAGAGAGGAAAGTGGGGGGTGGGGGTGGAGGTGGGATGAATTGGGAGATTGGGATTGACATGTATATACCAATATGTATAAAATGGATGACTAATAAGAACCTGCTGTATAAAAAAATTAAATTAAAAAAAAAAACCCAGAGGAACAGGCACAAAAGAATAGACAAAATGGATGTTATGAAAATTTTAAATTTTGTGCATCAAAAAACACTATTAGGGGCTTCCCTGGTGGCACAGTGGTTGAGAGTCCGCCTGCCGATGCAGGGGACACGGGTTCGTGCCCCGGCCCGGGAAGGTCCCACATGCTGCAGAGCGGCTGGGCCCGTGAGCCATGGCTGCTGAGCCTGCGCGTCCGGAGCCTGTGCTCCACAATGGGAGAGGCCACAACAGTGAGAGGCCCTCGTACCGCAAAACAAACAAACAAACAAAAAACACTATTAACAGTGTAACAAAGGCAACCCACAAAATTGGAGAAAATATTTGCAAATCATATATCTGATAAGGGATTAATATGCAGAATATGTAGAGAACTCCTAAAACACAACAAAAAACCCCCCAAACAACCCAATTCAAAAAATGGGCCAAGGACTCAAACAGACATTTCTCCAAAGAAGATACATGAATGGCCTAGAGCACATGAAAAATGCTCAATGTCACTAATCATTAGGGGAATGCAAATCAAAAGTACAATGAGATACTACCTCAAACCCATTAGGATGGCCACTATTAAAAACAACAACAACAACAAAACAGAAAAGAACAAGTATTGGAGAGAATGTGGAGAAAACTGGAACCCCTGTGCACTATTGGTGGGAACGTAAAATAGTACAGCTGCTGTGGAATATGGTATGGTGGTTCCTCAGAAACTTAAAAATAGAATGACTATATGATCCAGTAATTCTACTTCTGGGTATAAACCCAAAAGAGTTGAAAGCAGGATCCTGAAGAGATATTTGTATGTCCATGTTCAAAGTAGCATTATTTACAATAGCTAATACATGCAAGCAACCTGAGTGCCCACTGATGGATGAATAGATAAGCAAAATGTGGCCTATACATACAATGGAATATTATTCACCCTTAAAAAGGAAGGAAATTCTGCAATATGCCCCAACACAGATGAACCTTGAGGACATTATGCTAAGTGAAATAAGCCATTCACAAAAAGACAAATTCTATATGCATCTACTTATATGAAGTATTCAGAATAGTCAAAATCATAGAAAGTAGAATGGCAGTTGCTAGGGACTGGGGGAAAGGAGGCAATGGGGAATTACTGCTTACTGGGTAGAGTTTCAGTTCTATAAGATGAAAAGAGTTATGGAGTTGAATAGTGGTAATGGTTGCCCAACATTATGAGTATATTTAATACCACTGAACTATACAGGTAAAAATGGTTAAGATGGTAAATTTCATGCTATGTATGCTTTACTAAAAAAATGAAAAAAAAAAAAGAATGGAAAAAAATATACCACAAGTAACCGAAAGAAAGCTGGAGTAGCTATACCTGACAACAGATAAAACAGACTTTAAAACAGAAGATGTTAATAGAGAAAGAGAGGAACTTTTTATAATGATAAGATCAATT